CTTCTTGCTGTTTAGTCAGCAAGTCACAGCCGACTCTTTGGTCACCCCATGGAATACAGCCTGCCTGGCTTCTCTGTCCGTGGGATTTTTCAGGCAGGAATGCTGGAGTGGGTTGTCATTTCCTTCTCCAGGGGATCTTCCCAACCCAAACCTGAGTCTCCTGCATTGGCAGGCAGATTCTTTACCACTGAGTCACCAAGTGGTAAGTGAGTAAGTACTCACTTACTCACCGGTAAGTGAGAGCAGAACGCAGTGAAAGAAGTACCTTCTCCTTTATTGGCTGCTAAGATGCAAGTGTGTGTAGAAATTAGAGGCTAGAAAACCTTCTCACCTCACTTGCATCCAACCCCATGCCAAAGCCTTTGGTATGGTGTGCATTTACACTGCCAGGAAGAGCAGGAGGGGCAGTGAGCTAGTGGGGAATGAAAGAATAAAGTTGAGAGTTGGTGTTCTGTACCCTCTACTTTCCCCTCTCTGAGGAAACATCATCATCCCTCCTTGTTTGCTCAGAAGTTGACAAAAGGAGGAGTTGATTTTTATTTTAATTTTTAATAAATTCAACAACAGCGCCAAGTGATGGTTGATTGTGAATTACCTCTTGTAGCGCAGCTGCTGCTGTTGGACAGTTCTGCTGATCGTATAAACAAATCGCTTTTTTCCTATAACGGTTCTGAGCTCTATGGTGGCTCAATTGCTTGTGTTGTTTTTGCATTGTCCTAGAAGCAATAGGCCATTGTACAGTGTCTTGGGAAGAGAGCTTCTGTCTCAAGTTTAACTGGCATCTATGACTCTGCTAAATTTTTTCAAACCTTTTTTTTCTCTTTCTCTCCTACTGCTTCTAAGCTTTATGTGATGTTTTATTTAATATGGCATATAAGATATTGGTCTTCAGTCCAAATTGCAATTTCACATCAAAACCAATTCTCCTGACAATTGGATGCGGATGATCCATTTCTGAAGTTTACATGCTGCCCTAATTCTGGAGGGGAAAATAGAACAGCTACCTAGCTTGAGATTTTGTCCACAATAAAACAAAGGTTTTCCCCCAACCAGTGTGATGTAATTTACTAGTCTCCTTCAAATGCTTTGCTGCAATAAGGGATCGCGGTAAAATACTGCTGCCATTTCCCAAGAAACAGGCCCATCGGCACTTTAAATATACAGTGGCATGCAACTCTAACATTAACAAGAATCTGAAGTTACTGAAGCAATTATCTGTGAATTTTTGAGTTTCTCCTTCACAAGATCTGGGCACTGCCTGGCCTTCCATCTCTTTATGAAACATACAACTTCATCACAAGTTTTTATAGACTGGTCTTGTTAATGACAGTTGGACCAAAGCCACTGAAAGAAAAACTTTAAACTCATGTGCTGATACCTTTTTAGCAGCCTGGACAATATATTCAAGATGTTTGCCTGTGGAAAGAAAAATAAGATGGCAATCTTAAAAGTACATTAATAACTGTTCTTAAGGCTGAAATGAACAGAAAGGCCCTAATTCTCTATGGAATGTGGTAGGGTGGCTTTCAGCTCTCTTGAAAGGATGACCCCAATTAGCCTTCCAATTTTATCTCCCATCGCTTCCCTGTTTGTTGATTAATTTATTCAGTTCATGGAGTATCTTCTGTATGCCAGGCACTGTGCTTGTGTTGAATAAACCTGGTCCGCTTTTATTCTTAGCCTATAGGAATCCTGCCACCTTTCAAGGTCAAAGAACGTTCCACCCCTTCCTATGCCTTCTCAGCTGCTCGCAGGCCACAGGAATCTCTCCTGACTCCTTCGTGTTCTCCTTCAGCTCATTTTGCACTATTTTCTCTTGTTCCTCCCAGTAATCCTTCCAGGATCCTGTGTCCTGAGTCACGAGTGGGTGTATTTCCTCCTTCACGCTGGATTGCTCCTGGTTGTTCCTCCCTTGGCCTCACAGCTCACAGGAGGTGCCCAGTGTATGTTTTAGTGAGTGAGTGGTCACAGGGCCCCACTGTCCCGCCTTCTCTAACCCCAGCCGTTCTATCCTTCCGTGAGGCTCCTCCAAGCACACTGCTGCTCCGAGGCTTGCCGCTCACTGCTCCCGCTCTTTGGAACGCTCCAGTCTCAGTTATCTGTGTAACTTCCTCCCTCACTTCCTTCCGGTCTCTATTCAGTGTCTCCTCATCGAAGAGGACCTTCCTAACCACTTGGTATGAAACACCACCACTGCCTACTGGCCTTCATTCTTCTGTATCACTAACCGCTGGCCGTATTCTTTGCTCATTGGTCTGCCTCTCACCCTTCACTAGAACAGAAGCTTCTTGGCTTGATGGACCTTTTTTTTTTTAACCAAGCTATATCGTGAGTATCCAGAGCAGGGTCTGGATCATGGGAGGCGCTCATATCTGCATGGAGCTTGTGAATAGAAAAACGTGTTTTGCAAGGCAACTCTGCCACTGTGGCGGTCCCTCCTGACGGGTTTCTACAGCACAGAGTGGGCATCAGTATCATGCTCAGGAGCCCACCTTCAGGGGGGTTTGAACTAACCAGGATCGACAGTGTGTGCTCTGGGCTTTATTACCCTGCCAGAGTCTCAGGCCAGGTCCAGTCACATTCCTCATAGCAAGGTAACTTCTCTCTTCCTTGGTTTCTTTACCTACAAAATGAGAGTTTTTATTGTTGTAAAGAAAAGAAAAATCATAATTCAGTAAGGTTGGTAGCACAGTGTCTGGCACACAGTAAAAGCGTGGGTAATGTCAGTTATTACTGAACTGGATGGATGGCTTTGGTCGACTCTTTGGTGCTGGCCAGGAGAAAGGCAGTGTAGACAATGGGCTTGTGTGGACTCCACGAATGTCCTTAATTCATGAATTCTTGAGAATGCAGATGTCAGCGGGTGTAGGGATCTTAGTTCCCCAACCAGGGATTGAACCTGGATCCTCAGCAGTGAAAGTGCGGAGTCCTAACCATTCAGATGTCAGGGAATTTTGGGAATGGACTTTTCTTTTTTTTTTTTTCTTCCCATACTTTTATTTCTTTGTCAGATTGGGCTCACAAGGTGGGGGTCACATTTTCAGGAATTCGGTATAAAAAGAAATCTCTAACTTTGGATTTTAAAAAGCATCTTAATGTACAGAATTCTGCCACACTTTCTCCCTTCTTCCTATGATTTTCTCTACAATTATTCATAAAGAGGTGTATTAGTGACAATCATTCTGCCACAAGGCATCATAAGACTCAATTTGTTGTTGTTGCTGTTTAGTTGCTAAGTCCTGTCTGACTCTTTGTGACCCCATGGACTGTAGCCCGCCAGACTTCTCTGTCCATGGGATTTCCCAGACAAGAATACTGGAGTGGGTTGCCATTTCCTTCTCCTGGGAATGGGCTTTCAATGGTCTATAGGGTGTCAGTCAGCTGCCCTGATAAGAAGCATTGGGGGCCGTGAACTTGGCTGTGCCCCTCACTGAAGCCCAGTCATCTGATTGCCCCACAAAACCCAGGCTCCAAGTGAGGGTGGTAGGTCTGGTTTTGCCATTGGCTGGTGCTGATCTGACATAGAGATAATGGAAGAAAAGAAAGAAGAAAATGGGAGAGAATTCCAATGTCAAAACCTAGGTGAATCTTGACTGATTTGCTTTAGGGAGTTCTCTCCTAGGCTGTTTGTTTTAACTACACAAACAGTTTGACTTTTTTTTTTAAGCTTTCCTTTCATGCCTTTGTTCAGACGAGGGAAGGAGATAAGAGCTTCTAGATTGCTTTTTGTCTTGTTCCCCTGGTAAGCACAATTGGTTTCTTGCAACCTAAGGTAACAAGTTTATTGTAACTTGCAAATACACCCAAGGCTTTGGTCTAGCAGCTTCCCATGTACATGTCATAAACTTGGCATTGACCAGCATCAGTGCCACAGTAGAACTAACTCCTAGCCTGCTCCCTACACACTTCAAATACTGTGTGTCTCTCCACACAGTGCATATTTTTCTTATTACCTAATTTTAGCATTTGATTCATTCTCATAACTCTAAAAGGGGACTGGAGTTCTCTTTTTATTACCTATCATTAGGATGCCTAAGAATAATTTTCCTTCAGTGATCCCAAATATTCTTCAAAGACTAATTTGACCTTGAGAAGAAGAGTCGTTTTCATAGGCAATTTGACAGCAGAGTTGAAAAATCACCTCTGTGCCTCCTAACAGGCGCTCTCTTTGGGAAAAGCCAAGGAAAGCTGAGAAATGAGGTGCAGATGCTCTTCAATCATGTTTTCTCAAAAGGCATATCCGGTCCTGAAACGATGGAGTCTGGGAGAGAAGATCAAGTGTTTTTTTTTTTAAAAAAAAAAAAAAGAAAGAAAGAAAAGGATGACTAAAGGAGTTAGTTTCATTTTCCTGATAAAGTTGAGACAGTGGTCAGACATTTTTCTATCATGCTACCACAATATTAAATTTCTTACTTACCAGAAATTTAAATAAAAAGAAAGAAAACAATTACCTATCACTTTCTTGTAAGCATCACCCTTTATTGACAGCACCTCCATTCTTTTCTTGAAAATGGCTGATCAGTCAAGGACATAGCCTTCAGAAAATGGGACAGATAATTATTTAAATTTGTGATGCTTCAACAACCTCCACATTCTTGCCTGGCTCAGGAGGTCTGGACTTGGGCCTCACTGTGAATTTCACATTTCAGACCACTTTATGAGGGGGAAGCATGGAGTGACTGGAAGTTTGAGGCGTTTATAACACTTGTGATGGTTATCAGCGAAGGTTCTGGATCTGGGTTCGCATCTAGGTTCTTCCATGTACAAGGGGTGAACTTTCTAAGTCTCAGCTTCTGCATCTTTAAAATGAGACTAGGGCTTCCCTTGTGGTCCACTGGCTAAGGATCTGCCTTCCAGTGTAGGGCACATGTGTATCCCTAGTCGGGGAACTAAGATCCTTTATGCCGTGGGGGAACTAAGATCCTTTATGCCGTGGAGCAACTAAGCCCTGACCCCATAACTACTGAGCCAGCAGGCCACAGCTAGAGAGAGGCCTTCACACAACAACAAAAGATCCCACATGCCACAACTAAGACCCACTGCAGCCAAATGAATAATGAAAATCATAGAACGGGACTAATGATCCTGCCCCAGGAGTGCCGGAGGCTGGGATGAGGTACTTCCGGTTAATGATCTAGAGCGGGCCGCCCCTGCACAGCTCAGGCATTGCTGCTGCTGCTGCGGGTCTCAGCGTTTCTATAACTGGTTGAGTCTCTGGCTCTGGGTGGGTAAGATTCCTGGAAGCAGGGCTTGGGAGACTTAAAGGCATAGAATCCAAAGAGGCACACATTGTTTTGCGTCTGCTGTTCCCATTTTGATGCCAAAATCGAAGTCTGGATTGTAATTTTGAGGACAATGTGTTGACAGTCCTGGGAACGCTAATTGGTGGTGTTTTTAAGCCCTCTAGAGAACACTGACGTATCTGAATTCAGTGTGAGTGTTGGACACATGCAGTCTAAATACCCTCCCAACATCCCAGCCTTCTTTCCCAGGAAGAGGAGTCAGAACTTCTGTCTTATCTGTCTGGAGAGAGACAGAGTTTCACAGCAGTGGTTTCCAAACCTCAGTCATTCTCCAATTGTCTTCACCTCTCCTGCCATGTCTAAATAATGTAGCTGTTGTTTAGTCACTCAGTCCTGTCCAACTCTTTTGCAACCCCATGGAATGTAACCTGCCAGGTTTCTTTGTTCATGGGATTTCCCAGGCAAGAATACTGGAGTGGGTTTCCATATCCTCCTTCAGGGGATTTTCCTGACCCTGGGATTAAACCCACATCGCCTGCATTGCAGGTGGATTCTTTAACACTGAGTCGCCAGGGAAGCATCGAAGTAATACCAGTCCTATGATTGACTAATTGTTATTTACATTTACCTAAACATACTGAGGGTTTTCCTGATGGCTCAGCAGGTAAAGAATCCACCTGCAATGCAGGAGACACAGGAGATGTGGGTTCGATTCCTGGGTCAGGAAGATCCCCTGGAGGAGGGCATGACAACCTACTCCAGTATTCTTGCCTGGAGAATCCCATGGACAGAGGAGCTTGACAAGCTATAGTCCAATGGATTACAAAGAATCAGGCATGACTGAGCAACTAACTTGTACAAACATACTGGTTTGGGATAGTAGTCACTTCAGTATTCTTGCCAGGAAATTTCCATGGACAGAGGAGCCTGGCGGGCTGCAGTTCATGGGGTCGCAGAGTCAGACACAACTGAGCTACTGAACACACATTGGGTTGGGAAGATCCCCTGGAGAAGGAAATGGCTACACACTTCAGAATTCTTGCCTGAAAAACCCCATGGACAGAGGAGCCTGGCGGGCTACAATAGTCCATGAGGTCATAAAGAATCAGACACAACTGAGAAACTAACATGTTCACTTCAAACATACTGACTTTTATTATTTTGCCTTATTCTAAGTAATCCTACCTCTAAAATTATTGGAACATTTGGGTGCACTAATTGTACTTTCAATAATACTCAGGAAAGTAACTCCATAGAGATTAAAATGAAATCTACATCTGTCTCACCTAAAATGAGCTTGTCCACCAACTTTAGAACACAGGGCATCCTTTGGGGGGCTCTGGCCCTAAGAGTCTGGTGGGAAGGAATATTGATTTGAGGCAGATCCTTAACCAAAGTCCCCTTCAAAACCGTGGCCCTGGGCCCTCAATGGTTTTGCTCGACTGTCAGCCCAAAGCCGAGGACTCCAGAAGGACAGACACAGAGGAGCCATTTTCTGTCAGTGACACGGGAGTATGTCTCAGACAGCTGTCACTGAACAATTAATCTTCAGAATGAGATCTCAATTACCAAACATGTGTTCTCATGAGCAAGGACTTTGTCTCATCATCTGGAGCTACTATTAGACACAAATAATATATATTTTTTCCATTCATAATTATCTCTTCTTACTGCAGTCTCGATGATTATGATGTATGTTGTAACTGGTTGACTCCTTGCAGTCGGAATTGTTAACATATTGTGAAAATATGCACAAAATCATTCTTTCTAGGCTGACTTTTGGTGTTAAAATTAGAAAGACCAATATGAGTTTGAACAGCATGAAGAGGAAGACTAGATGATCAATTCTTGTGCTTGGAAATGCAATTGCCTCTCTGGAGCCAGGATTTCTTGCTTTTGCATCTTATTTCTCTTTGTGCTTATTATAATAAAGACAATAAAGTAAAGTGAAAGGGGGTGGAGGCTGAGAGGGTATAATGGGATATTTTAGTATAAAGTGATCTTGATTTTAATATTTTTCTATCTGTATTAACAGATAGACTTAGCTATTAGAATTTTTACACAAAAGTGCACTTAGTTTTTTGAGGGGTTTGGAAGTGAATTTTTTATTTCACTGTCTTTTGATTTCCTGTTCATCTGAGAGGGAGAAAAAGTATTGAAGACTAGAAAAAAATCCATATAATACACATATCTTTTAAAAAATTGTCACTAAAATTAAACACATATCTATTGAACTGACAAAGACCAAGTTGATTTGTTCAGATCTGAAACTTGACAATGGTGTCTCCAAAGAGACTAATGACTCTTTTGATTATTTATAACACTTAGGATGTTTGTTTTAACAATTGTAACTGGATGAACAATACTTTCTGTTCTTTCTCCCATCTTCTTTGAGAATCCCTCTGATTTCCTGCCCAGAACTGGTTTTCCTTCTGCCGCTCTTCCACTGGCATTTTGTTCCAAGAAACCACTGGGAGGAACAGGTCAGTCGCTCATGGAAGCTGAAGTTGTGTTTTTGGCTTTTCATTCCAGAAGCATTCCATGACCCACAAGTCCCAGAACTGAGGTCCAAAAGCCATTCCCAACCCCACCCTGTCACCAGAACACCCTGTCATTTTACCCTGACCCTACAAAAATCCTCCCTTACTCTGGATCACAATAAAGCCATCTTCCCTGTAGGGGCTCCAGCCTTTGTAGAAAACCTTGTCCTGAGGGTCTAGTGAGTCTGACATCTAGAAATCAATAACCTGCCTTGGTGAACCCCCAAAACTTGTTTTGAAATAAAGAGCACTTCCCTTGTTTTAAATTATAAGCACAGATTTGTTACAGTTCAGCAAAGAGCTGTCTGTCCCTCCTGCATCAAATGCTAGTGGTAAAGAATCTGCATGCCAATGCAAGAGATCCAGGTTTGATCCCTGGGTCAGGAAGATCCTGTGGAGAAGGAAATGACACTCCACTCCAGTATTCTTGCCTGGGAAATCCCATGGACAGAGGAGCCTGGTGGGCCACAGTTCATGGGGCCGCAATGAAGGGTGAAGGAGACTTTTCTAATTAAAGCTTCAGTCTTCAACCAGCTCTTTGTTGAAGCTTGGAGAAATTTTTTTTTGCAATGTTTGGTTTCACTCTGGATAGTTTGAAAAGATAACATGAAGTTTAGCTCAGCACCAGAATCTACATTAATATTTATTTCCACAGAGTTTGGGTTCAGGGTCTAGATCTTTTTATGGGAAAGGAGCTATCAAAATCCTAGCTACAATGTTCCCTTTGGATGACTTTAAAAATTGTACATAAAAGTTTATTATTTAAAATTGCACAGGGTACTTTATGGAAGCATACTTTCAAAGTTACTGTAACCTGATAATAAACATTTGCAAAATAGCACTTGATCTTCTAAGGAAATATACCTTGAAGTTAGGATAACCTGGTTATAAATATCTGTCTCTGTGTTTATCAGAAATCTCTGGAGTTTTGGGTTTGGGGGAGAAGTGAAGTTCTAGGAACATTTCTGAGAGAGCCTCGGTTGGGTTGATGGGTAAGTCGTCTTGGCTTAAGCACTTACCTTGGTGGGGTATTGATCAGAAGCTGCATATATGGTTTTACTTGATGTCCTGACCGTTTCAATGGATTAAATGTATTTCAAATGGATAAGCTAGAAGATGGGGTTTTAAATAGGCAGAGCAACAGAGCAGGAAGTCCATATGGCATGGAATAAAGACACATACACTTCTGAAAACTTAAAAGGCTGTCATCTGCTAAGCCTGCCCGTAATAACCACTCTCAAAGTTAATTGCCACCCATGTGTCCTTGTTGAAAAGTGCATCATGCTGCCCAGAAAATTGGCTTAAACGGCAACAAGAAAGATGTAGATTAGCTGAGGTAGGACTTCCTGCCTGACCAACCTGGGTTATGAGAGTGAAGGACTCTTATACGGGCCTTACTGTACTCAGACTTCCATCACATCTCCTTGTTGGAATGTGAACTTCTCCTTGAGCTGCAGAGTAGACAGGGTGTGTCTCCAGCATACTTGGAAATATGGGATAGTGAATTTTGAGGAGCTTAGCTTGTTTTCTCACTTCCCATTATGCAGTTGTAAAGGATTCTGATGGAGTCAACCAGTGCAGGAGGACTGGGACCAGCATGATTACCTTGAGCACCCTTCTGGTTGCTGGGTGGCTGCATTCAACATCTTATCAACTGGCCAACAAGGCAAGCCGTAAGCACCCAACAGTCTCATCCATAGGCAGAGCTTCAGGAAAATGAGAGGGTGGAAAGGGCAGACCGTTTAGGAAATGATTTCACTCAGTGAGCGGGACAGTTTCAAAGATGGATAGGCAGGGGACCGAGGAGAGACTGGGGCCGTGGAATGGTGGGGAAATAGACAGACCTGAATCAATGGGTTCCCCATCCATACCTGCAGAGCTGTGGGGCGGGGGCAGGAAAAGTCAGAGAGGGAAGCAGTCCAGGTTTGAGGTCTTACCTCCTGAGCCTGGTGGGACATGCAGCTAGCAGGGAAGATCCACGGGACTACCAGGGAAATCAATGATTTGCATTCTGTTTGATGTCAAAGCTTTTGAATCTTAAGTGTTTCCTTGAATCTCTTGAAACTGTCAAATTTGAGAACATGCTGACCACCAATGGGCTTGCACTTCTGTACACAGTTAATTAAATCTATCATGAGATCCTTGAACATATGAACAGACAGAACTAAATGCTGGTGACTTTTGTTGATGCCTCTGAGTCCATGTCTATGGGGTCACTTCTGACTCCAGAGCACTTTCATCTTGGGAGCACAGCCCCCTGCCCCAGCAGCTTGCAGAGGCCTGAGAGGGGCCACCAGGGTCAAGAGGGAATGGCCAGCACTGGCGTTTGTAGATCTGGACATAGTGGTTTGTCTTCTTCTCATGAACCACATAGGCTTCTTATAATGCATGTTCCCTGGTGCCTGCCCACGTCTTCCAGAATGGGGGGTGCTGGTGGTAGCCATGGGACCTGCGCTTTCCAGGCTCCACTTCCCTTCAAAGCCCCACACGCTCAAGCAGGGAATGCAAATGGAACCTGGGCAAGACTCCCACTATCCAGGCATCAGGAGTCCGGGCCCCACACCCTCTTCAGCCTGTGTGCCAGGCCCTGGTGCATCTGAACAGTTCTAGCAATGCCCTTGAGCTGCAAAATTTGCACTCCTGCTTTAGAGACTGAGTATTAGAATTAGAAACACGCTTTTCTGTGGATCCTAGGCTATTTTGTGTATTTGGGGGTAATAATTCTTCTTATGCTTTGTGGTCCTTTTTAATAAAAATGACATTCCCCTTATCTTTAAAGGTTGAAATCTCAGCCTAATGTATGACCCATGCTATCCTTGGAGAGTTATAAAAATTAGATTATATAACCTCACATTTCCCGCTAATGAACATGGTAATACTTCTGCCCAATGAGAGGGAGACAAGAGATGGGGATTTATGCTTTAATAATCCTGCTTAGATTGGTGTGTGTGGCTGTGGGCAGCGGGCCACCATTGGGCACAGCAGGCACTGTGGCTTCCTGGCCAACAGGGCAATATTTTTATAGCAGTAAATCTCTCTTGGGTGAGGGCTTCTTATATTGTATTAGGGGACAGCTCTGGAAGTGGCTTAGTGTATGAAATTGCTCTGAAAATAAGACTATTCTTATCATTTGGAAAAATACTACTTAGAACTGTTGCTCTTTGGGTTCTAATGTTTAGATACTGTCCTGGGCCCCCACTACTGCCAGGCTTGATGCTGGTTGCCACGCTTACCATTTTTCCATTTAAGCTTCCTGTTCTTCCTATGAGGAAGGCATGTGAATGTCCCTGTTTTACACTGTGACCTTTCTGAGGGCAGAGACCATGTCTTCATTTCCATGTCCCCAGTGTGTAGGGCAGTTCATAATAGGTGGTTAGTCAATGTTTCTGAATAATGAATAACAAACCTGTGATGGTTAATTTTATGTGCCAACTGGGCCAGGTCACAGTATTAAGATGTTTGATTACACATTATTCTTAGATGTTTCTTTGAAGGTATTTATTTTGGATGAGATTAATAGTTATACTGGGGGACTTTGAGTAAAGCAGATTATCCTCCATAATATTGGCATGCCTCATCTAATCAGTTGAAGCCCTTTAATAGAAAAAGCCTGCTCTCTCCAAACAAACAAAAAAAATTCTTTCAACAAATTGCCTTTGGGCTAGAACTGCAATGCTTCTCTGGGCCTCCAGCCTGCTGGTCTACCCTGTAGATGTTGGATTTGGCAAGACTCTGCAATCATGGGAGTCAATCTTTTAAAATAAATCTCTCAGATAGATAAATAGATAGATAAATAGGCATCTATCTTCCCAGGTGGTGCTAGTGGTAAAGAACACGCCTGTCAATGCAGGAGATGTAAGAGACACGGATTCAGTTCCTGGGTTGAGAAGATCCCCTGGAGAAGGACATGGCAACCCACTCCAGTATTCTTGCCTAGAGAATCCCATGGACAGAGGAGCCAAACAGGCTATGGTCCATAAGATAGCAAAGAGGTGAACACGACTGAAGTGACTTAGCACGCACATAGATCTATTATCTATGTCTACCTCTTGTCTCTGTCTGTATCTCTATATCTCCTATTGGTTATGTTTTTCTGGGGGAAACTTAACTAATACAAGACCTAACAGATTTTTAAACATGAACCTCATGAGACACCCTAGGGATTTTGAAACAAATACTAATTTCCTGGGCCCCATATTAAGATATTCTGATTTAATTGGTCAGGGTATAGATAGGGAAAGTATAGTGCTGTCGTGTCTGACTCTTTGTGACCCCATGGACTGTAGCCCACCAGGATCCTCAGGGTATAGATAGGAAATCAGTGTTTTTTTTTTTTTTTTAAAGCTCCCCAGGTAGCAATCAGAGAAATGAAAATCAATGAGATTCTAGGATGGCTATAATATAAAAGACAGATGACAGCAAGTATTGTTAAAGATGTGGAAAAATTGAAACCCTCATCCATTGCTGGTAGGAATGTGAAATGTGCGGCCAGCTTGAAAAACAGCCTGAATGTTTCAAAAATGTTAACTGTAGAATTACCATATGACCTAGCAGTTCCCCTGCTAAGTATAAACTCCAAAGAAATGAAAACACACATTCACTTAAAAATTTGTGCATGGGTATTCATAGCAGCATTATAAACAATAGACAAATGCAGAAACAACACAAATGTTCATCAACTGACGAAGGGATAAATGTGTATTCAGTCACTCAGTTGTGTCCGACTCTTTGCGACCCTATTGACTGTAGCCTGCCAGGCTCCTCTATCCATGGAATTTTTTAGGCAAGAATACTGGAATGGGTTGCCATTTCCTACTCCAGGGGATCTTCCCAACCTAGGGATTGAACCCATGTCTCCTACACTATGGGCAGATTCTTTAACACTGAGCTGTTGGGGAAGCCCCTTGAAGGAATAAATAAAATGTGGTACATCCATACAATAGACTATATTTGGTAACAAAAGGAAATGAAGTACTGATACATGCTACAACATAGTTGACCTTTGAAAACATTATGCTAAGCATAAAAATATAGACACAAAGGATACATATGATTCTGTTTATGTGAAATGCCCAGAAGAGGAAAATCTATAGAGACAGAAAGCAGATTAATGATTCCCTCAGGCTGGGGAGAGATTGGGGAGAAATGAGGATTCCAGTTTACTGGATTGTTAATGGATACAGGGGTTCTTTTTGTGTGATGCAATGTTCTAAAATCAGGTGTTGGTTGCATGACACTGTGAATACAACAAAACCACTGAAGTGTATGCTTTAAATGGGTAAGTCGTATAGTGTGTGAATTATATCTCAGCCTGTTTAAAAGGTTACCCGGGGTGATTCTCCTATGACCTGAATTTGAGAAACACTTGCCACTTGAATCATGGTCCACAGAGTGGCAGTCCTGGCCTTATCTGGGGCTTCTTTTTTAATGTAATTTATTTATTTTTGGCCATGCAGGATCCTTGCTGCCGTGCAGCCGAGCCGGGCCTACTCCCTAGTTGTCATCTGAGAACTTCTTGTTGCAGCGGCTTCTCTTGCTGTGGAGCACCAGCTTAGATTACAGAATGGCCCCCTTGGTACTCACAGGACGGGGATGGCGCTTTCTAAACCAGCTGCTCTGTAAATCTTTCGTTCATTCGTTCAGGGGAGTCTTTCAGGTACAGGAACCACATCTGATATGTCCCTGCCTCTGGGCCTCGGTGGGTCCTTGGTAAACAGGAGCTGAAAATGCCATCTGCACGCACTCACCTCTGTGCCTGGCCCTGTGCTGAGCAGGTGTCCTCAGTCGCCCCATTCACGCCTCACCTCAGCCCCGGAAGTGAAGGGAGCGCCATGTTCATGTCTACGGGACAGATGAGGAAGACAGAGGACCATCTTGCCCAGTGTCACTCAGCTAACGCCTGGCAGGGCCAGGATTCAAATCCAGGGTGTCTGACTCTGCCCAGTGGGTGGGTGGGCATCCAGTGCCTCGGGCTGATTTGTGGCTACTGGTGTCTGGGTGTGGGGTCGCGTTATGGTGGCGAGCAGCCCTCTGGGGCTGGCTGTCCACCACGTGATTTGGAGAGCTGGGAAACTGAGGCTGGGACCCAGGGAAGGTTGACTAACCACACCCTCCGTGCACCCAGCCCCACCAGCTACTGGCCAGGGACAAGGGAGGGACCTGGGGGCAGTGGGGGAGGTCTTTCCACCTGCTCGTCAGGGCTATACGTGTTCCCCACCTCTTCCATAACTGCTGACTGACCCGGCCTGCTGCTCGCATTAAATCATAAACACAGTGCAAGTTCAACTACATTCCAATTCTTTTTTGGCGTCTTTTTTGGTGGAACACTGGGCCCCTGAGAAGAGAGGCCAATGGCAACAGATGGCACTTCAGAAGAGCACCTGCGAAGGGCAGACCTCTCTTTTGATCCCTCTGACTGTTAATAGCACATTTCCATTTCACTAACCGCATGAAAAGTGTCCCCGAGTGAGCGGCCAGCGGTGTCTCCGGTTCCATGCCGCTTTCGCTTAGTGAAGACATTCCCCAGACTCTTCCCAGGGTTTGGACCCGACCTGCATCTGTGGCCAGGGGGTCAAGTGTGAGTTGGCTGCTTCCGGAACATGTGCAAAGCCCGCCCACTCCCTTCTGGGTACCCCAGTCCACATCCTCCCGTTTCCTGTGCCAAGTACTGTTATCTCCCAGGCATTACAGGCCAACGCAAGGGCTG